TTGAAAATAACAACAGATGGTAATTTTGATCCATCAGCCATACAACCTAAAATAACTGTAAAGGTGCTTCTTTTATGACCTATAGTTTTAATATTAATAGAACTAGAACCACATTTTTCTAAGGTATATGAATTAGATAAATTAAAAGCTACAAGTGTTTCATCCATGTTTCCAATAAATTTTAGTGAATAATCATACTGTATTCTTCTATATAGAACAAAACTTAAAAAACTTTGCTGCTTTTTAAGTAAATCTTCTGGTAAATATTAAGATACTGTTGTTCTTCGTCTATTTGAAAGATCATGACGAACTATAAAATAATCCATCCATTTGCTTAAAAATTTAAAGGAAAAAATATTTGGATATTTTTCTTGGTAATTATCAGTTTGTGTAAGTTCTTTAGCCTTTTTTATTGCCATATTTCTAGTAATTGGCAAACTTTGTGCGTAACAATCTAAAATCCACTTTGCTAACACTTGCTCTAAATCTGAAAAGAATGGCTGTCTATCACTATGCAACTTTAATAAATAAGGTACTGAAGCTTTAAGTTGATCTTTTTTACGTCTTCAATCACGAACCTAACTTAGTTGTAAGCCAAAATAACTTGCAGTTATACGAACACTACCAGACCAGTTCAAAAAATGTAAAACTATTAGCTTTTCATGAACACATTATTGTCATCTTTTTTAAGAGTTATTCTAGAAAGAAAAGTTCTTTTATTTCCTTTAACAACCATTATTAGAAGGTTTAACTATAAATGCCAAGCAACACAAAGTAAAACGTGTTACAAATTTTTTATTTTATACCATGATCAATATAACGCATTTGATCTATATAAGATACCCCTCTATACAAAATACCCCTGATTAAACTATCCAGGTATTTTGCAAATATAGGGGTGAATTTGTAAAAAACTCAGGGTAGTTTAGTCAGTGTTCTACAGTACATTAGTCTTGATGCATTTCGCATGGCTAAACAGTATATTATTTTATTAAGATAATATTTGAGATCTGGGTCAAGAACTGATCTGAAAAATTCAACACACAAACTCACAATTATCATCTAAGTTCGTGAAATTTATAGTAATATCCTTTTCGTAAATATGATATATGTATTTTAATGGTGAATCGCATATAGATTTTATTTTTGATGATTTAATCATATATGCCTTATATTCTGAAATTTTGATGAAGTATACAAAATTATACTTTTTATGAATACTATAATATTTGAGATTCTGTAGCCATTTTAACATGTTAAGCCAATATGTATCTCTAACAACTATATAGCCTTGCTAATATAATAATTTCTTAACAAGTATAAATGTTGCAAAAGATAATTATTGCTATAATTGAACTTTTTTCTCATATATCCAACTATTTTTCACTGAAAAATAATATTCCTCATACCAAATTTGTCTTGAAAGATTATATCCTTCATTTTTTATACTTAAAAACTTTATATCATCAGGAGTACTATCATTCCTCATCATCTTCCAAACTCATTTTACTAAAGATTCGGATCTTTTCTTATAATTCCTATAAGCTTGTTAGATAACTGTTACATAGAAATTTTCAAACTGATAGTTATATTGTCTCGCAATCAAGAATCCCTAAAATTGCTTCATTGATCTTCCTAAACTCAAAAATACTTTAAAATAATTAAAAAATCTAATCCAGAATAGGCAGATCATGCATAGTATCGGCAGATGATATATTTCATAAGCGATTATCTAGATTATATAGTGCAAAAAATAAATTATATTTCAGTTAAAAGTAATTAAAATATTTTTCGAAACCAGTTAGTTAAACTGGTTAAACAATTGTAACTTTTATCTTATCTCTTAATTTTAATACAGTGCCTTTTGTGAATGGTAATAAGTTATTTTATTTTGCATACTGAGACAAGATAAATATTTTGCTTATATTTCTTTTGCAATTCGATGATTAATAAGAAGTTGGTAAAATCATTTCTTACCTAATAGGTGAAATATAAGCTAGCTCAAAATTTGGAATACTTGACATAGTATTTTTTGCTACAGTTGCTTTAGATTGTATATAAGTTTTATAGTTAGCCATAAAATTTCCATCATAATTATATGATACTGATGCCAATTTATCCTTTTTTGAATGTAGAGTAGATTGGAATGAAAGCTCTAGCTGAAGATGATTAATTTTAGCCTCTTCTTATAATATGTATTATTTATATTACCAGATCTGAAATTCCCTACTATTAATAGTTTGGAGAATTTTATTTCTTCTTGCATATTCATTTGAAATAGTTTTTCCAGAAATACATCTTTTTAAGTGACTATCATGACTGTGATGATTGCTATAAAAAGTTCCAGATATGAAAACTAAGGAGTCATATATACTACAATATATATAATTTGTTCAATTAGTGATGACTTTATCATTTTCATAAAACTTTCTATACATTATAATATATCTATTCTTAGAAAGGATTCTTGGATTCTCTTCAAGTATTTTTCTAAATGGATCACAGATACAGAAGCATCACATTTCTGGTATTTCATGATCACGTCTTTTTATTAAAAGCAATATTACAACAAGTATTCTTATATATTTTTCAGAGCCTTTATAAGTATTGTTTGCATCAATTAGCTTAGAATAAGTTTTACTATCTAAATCCATAATAGTGTTTTAATAGATTATAACAAATTATAATGATTTTATAGTGTTTTTAGTGATTTTAGCAATTTCACAATTTTTTATTGATTTATAGTAATTTATAATAGTTTATAACAGTAATTAATAGGGATTAGCTAGAGGCGCTTTGCATGATGTATAACATAAAAATTTGTATTACCCTAACTCCCAGTTAGAGAAACAATCTGTAAATGATAATCCGTGTAAATAATGCAAATATCCGGATAATGCAGATATCCGGATCATTCTTAAGTATTGCAGATTTGTAAAATTTATCCGCAGATAATTTGCAAATATTCATGGATATTTCACGAATTAAATAACAAATCTATAGATCAATTCGCGGATATTCACTATATAGTTATTATAGTATCCACAAGATAATATATTAAATATAATTGTTTCAAATTAATTCTAAATTATTCTTATTTTAATATTTAATTTGATTGTTTTCATTATTTCTTTATTTAACTACTCAAGTACTTTGCTATAATTTTTTTAAATAAACGACATTGAATAAAATTTTTTGAAAATTTTTATATTTAAACGTACAAACCATCCATACAATACATTCACTTTTGTTAGATACATTTACATTTTTGGATCATCGTCCTACAATTTCCAACCTATTTGGAAAATACCTTACTGATCTAAAACCTAAAATCAGGTACAAACATTATATCATAGATCATATGATCATGTTATTTATGTAAATTTCAAAATTATATTCCCACCCGATTCTTTTTCATACATTTTTTCTTTTAAAATTAATGATGACTAAAGAAACTATCCCACTTACACCTTTAAGTGATCATGATAATGAAGAAGAAGGATCTAATCAAACTGCTCCACCATCTAATAAATGCTCAAAAAAATAAAGATCAGGACGCATTCCCAAAAAAGTAAAAACACTTGAAAAAACACACAAGTATAAAAGCTGGGTGTAGAAATGGTGGGATCCTGTACTGCTTGATAATGGAAATGCCAGTGCTGAATGTTTAGTTAAAAAAACAGATGAACAGCTTTGTGGAAAGGTCTATTCAAGTGGAAACTCAACAAGTAATCTCATTGCGTATCTTGCTGGATCACATCAAATTACTGAAAATACAGATGTAAAAGGAAGATTGGTATGGTTAATATCCTTTTGCTATAATAATAGTTTAAAAATAAATATTAATTAATATTATTTTAAAAATAGATTCAAACCACACTCACCAACAATGTAAGACCATATAAAGAAGCTAAACAAGAGAAACTTCGCCAATCACTTGTTGATTGATTTATTGCTGATTCAATGCTACTTAAACTTATTCAAAGTGATATATTTCAGAAATTTTTACATGATTTGGATCCAGGATTTATTGCACCTGATGTAAAATTAGTAAAACAAATTATTCATCGTGCATATAACCATACGTATCTCTAATTGTTCAATATATTGAAGATCATGCAATCTCAGTCAACTTAACTACTGATCTTTGAACTGCCCAGAATCGACAAGGTTACATTGGAGTTACATGTTGCTTCTTAGATGAGAATTTTCAGCTATACGAGCTTATTCTTACGGTCATTTACGTTCAGTATCTACATACTGCAGATCACATTAGCGATAATTTGCTTGAATTATTAGATCTATAGATGTTAAGAGAAAAGGTTAATGTAATTACTACAGATAATGGTTCCAATATGAAAAGAGCAATTAAGGATATGAGCGAAATTTCTCATAACATTACCTGGCAGCCTTGTACCGCTCATACTTTACAACTTGTTGTAGGAAAAAGGCTTGCATGCATAAAATTACTTGTATTAAGGGCCAAACGATTAATTGACTTCTTCATGAGACCAAAGCAATCAGAAAGGCTAGAAAATATTCAAATGAATATTGAAAACCAAGTGGTATGACATATTTTAAAAAAATAATCATTTTTTCAATAAATAAAAGTATATTAATCTAAATTCTTTTAGAATCCCAAAAAAACAAGCATATACCTACGCCATTACATTGCAGACGTTCAAACACGTTGGAATTCAAGCTTTCTGGCTTGGAAGAGACTGCTAGAAATAAAACTATATATTGATATCCTAGTAATTACGTTACCAATTGCTAGTGATGTTGATTCAAAAAGAGATAGCCAACGGCTATCTGAAATTATGCTAACTAAAGATGAATGGGAGTTATCAGCAAAATTATGTGAAGTTTTGAAAGGATTTGCTGAAGCTACAACCTACTTAGGTGCTAGCAAATATGTGACTCATAACATTATGAGTCCATTATTAAAAGAAATTAAAAAACGCGTGAAACTAAAAGATATACCTTAAGATGTAAATAGGATGGAGGAAATTATTGATGTTTTTGAAGAGAAAGAAGAAGGAGAATGGGCTGAAGAAAATATATCAGAAAGAAAGTTAAACTTAAATCAACCATTTAGAACTAATAAAATGTTGGAAAAGGTAAAGCTTGATCTGTATAATGCAATGGAATTATATTAGAACAAAGAAGAGGAAGGGGTTCTTATTTCAGCAATACTTGATCCTAGAATTAAGTGTCTTGGATTTGTTGATGAAGAAATTCATAATAAAACAAAAGATCTATTAAAAAGCAAATACGATTAGCTTAAAGCTGATTCTTTATCAACAATGCCTACCATTCCACCACCCAGCGAATCCTCTCTATTTCAATCTTTAAACAAAATCTCACACAAGAAAATGAAGTAACCATTTACTTATTTTTACCTGAATTAGATTTTGATTTGAACCCTTTTATTTGGTGACGTGATCACAAAGAACAATTTCCAATTCTTTCAAAGTTGGCTAGAATTTATCTTCCGATTCCAGCTACCTCAACCCCAAGTAAGAGATTATTTAGTGATGCTGGTAATCTATTAACAGCTAAAAGAACCCATTTAAACCCTGAATTGTTTAATAGGCTTATGTTTTTAAAGAAAAATTCATTATTTGTTAAAAGCATCCATCCTTCTCCGGAGTCTGGAAAATTCTAGTATGTAAATTTTGGATAACTAATAATATCATGTCTTATAATAAAATTATAGTAAAATGAGAATTATAAAATTGGGAAATAAAATATTTTGTTTTTTATTTTTTATTATAAATGCGTAGAAATGTCAAATTTTTTTAGAAAATTCACGGATATGCGGATATTTGCAGATTTTTTATTATCTATGTGATCTGTTGATTATCTGCGAATATTTGGCATATAATCTGCAGATCGTTTATTTGGTTTCCTGCGGATATATAATAATCATCTGAATCACTTTTTTATCTGATAGATAAATAGTTTTATCCACGAATGATCCAGATCATTTCACTATATGAGATAATTAATACAATATCGATATCGGCTTTCTAATTTAAATAAAAAACATTCGAAATAATAAGCATAATCACAAATCAGAACACAACCTACCTCACAAGAATCTATGCAGCCTTCTAAATCACAATATCTATCTTTTTGTAGAAGACGTGCTGTATTCCAAGCCATCGACAATATTTTTACATCAACTTGAACTTTAAGTGTCGGAAGTTCATAAGTTTTGGGTTTTGAATGTAAATTGGAAATAACTTTTGATTTACCAAGATTCCGATATACATCTGTAAAGAAATTTAAAAGGAAAAGTGCAGTACGCTTTTCAAGATATTCTAGCTGTTTTATTGAATATCTGATATTATGATTCTCAGCAAACATATTCATAAAAGAATTTCTGCTACGCATCTGATCAATTATTTGTACTTCTTGAATAATCTGCTCTGCTGTGTTTGATTTCTGTATTTGCCGTCAAAGTGAGCTATGAAAGTTTTCTACAAAATAATCGTTAAAAACGTGAAGAAAATCTGTAAGAGATTGTGAAATAGGATAATTAATATTAGTCCAATAAAAAACATCACTTAAAAACATCAATGGCAATTTGTTATAATGTCTGCGTTGATATTGATAAAAAACAGTCTACACGTGAAACATTACTTCTATATATGCTTGCTAATTTCCACTACAGAATATAATAGGATAAAAATCTAAAACCAATGGAAGAATATTGTCAAGTAAATTAATAAGATATCTGGCTTCTGGATCCTTAGACTGTTCAAATTTTCGCATTATCGAGCGAACTCAAGACCAGCCTTGAGATGCTAATTCTAATATCAAATTGATTTTATAAGGTTTTGGCTTTTTCACTAACACCTTATTCTGTCCAAATACCTCATGAAAAAGTAAATCAAAAAATTGATAATTTAAAAGGAATACAGTTTCACGACTATTTAAGGATACATGTAAAGGTCCAATCATCAGGATTATATGCAGAATTTGATCCGGTATTTCAGAAGAATCTCCAAAATTGATTCAATTAGTGATAGCACATCATACGTGAAGTTGTTCAGGGTAATCCATAGGTGTCACTAATACTTGTGTCTCCATATAAGTTTCTACTTTAGATATATTTATCAAAAACCTAAGAGCATTTACATAATTATCAGTTGAATGAAGGGATCCTTCTTTTAAATCAACAAGTTTCGTGTTTTCCATACTTCGATCAGTCTGACGTTGTTCAATCCTATCATCATAACTATGAATTAAGAGACGTTCGACTCGTTCGTCATGTGTTTCTGACATAGATACTAATTCGGCAAATGTTTGCTTGCGTCCTGCATAACTAAGCCATAAATAAGAAAAAAAAGATAAATGTGCGTTCTCTATAATAATGTCTGAGTCAATACCCTTTTCATTATGAATACTTTTTCCTTGATTAGGATTATTAAATGGAATAGATGACATTTCTAGCAAGGCTTTTAAGAGTATTATAATAAAATGAAAAACTTCATGTGTAGTTGTTGTGTCACTACGATGATATTCGTGAATATTGTGAAAATTATCCACGTTGAGAACAACTAAGCTTTCGATCTGTTAAAAGATTATATTATGCATAGTCAATTAATAACCAATAAAAAAAAAACTTAGAAATATTCATATACCTACATTTTCTGATAAAAACCTTCCCACTGTTATCGTATGAGCTTCTACGTGTTGAGTTTTCTGTCTTGCAATAGTTTTATGTCTTATTGTCAAATCTGCATCAGCCAAGGTTTCAATTGCTGATGAAGATGTTCCAAATGCATCTAATAAAAGCCCAACTTCCGCCTTGATCCCATTAATAAATTTATTATTAAGTTCTGCTAAGAAATAACAAAATGAAACTAAACGTTTCTTATTCTTCTCGTTAGTCATATGATTCTTGGCTTGCGGGTTAGTTCCAGCTACTAATTGACCAAAAAATCCTTTTAATGATAGCTCAGCTTTCTCAAGCATTCTCATGAATTCTTCTGGATCGAGAATGGGTCTTTCATTATACACGCATTGCCTTGTATACAAAACTCCCACCATTAATTTAACTTTCCTACTGAAAGGAATCAATTCTAAAGAATTATATGATTAATTTAAGTTTCATATGATGTTGATCGCCGTTGAAGAGTTTGTCTAAAAAAAACAATTGAGAACATCATAGCAAATAAATTGTTTACTTACCTAGCTTTGCTTCGTCAAGCTCTGCACATACTTCATGATATGCAGACTCCAGTTTCTGAAATTCAGATTTAGAGTATATAATATCACCACGTAAAACATAAGACCTACCTTGAAATTTTCTTACATACTCTTTAGAAATCCTTTTGGGTGCTGGCATATAATCAGACGAGTTAACATATTCTGGATCAGTGTCAGTTTTATATAAGCAATGGCGATACATCATTGCCCCTCGTGATAGTTTGAAGAAATTGATTAATCATTCTGGAACCTTCTTGATAGTTTTTGTTTCTATACCATGTCGAGCTGTAGAAATATAGAGTTAATGCTTTGGATACGAACATATATTGTTAGTTTTGGATTTTTTTGCATTAACTATCAATTTATTGTAATGTTTTCGACACAAAGCCTTGCCAACCAAGTCCAGGTATTGACTCGAACTTGGTATTATTACTTTTTCAGATACAATAGATGCGCTGTGCTGTTTATAATCACATACGACATCCTCCTGGCCTTCCAAATCACAATGTTGAGCCTTTCTTTTTCCCTTTCTCTCAATGGAGGAAGTTGGACGGGCTTCTTGTGTAGACATTTTTCTTTATATTCTTTTTTCTGGTGATAAAAAATGCTGAAATAAAATAAACTTTATTAGCCAGTTTCTGAATTACCTTGCCGTTTACTGAATTACTTTGCTGGCCTATAAAACAAAAACTATACGTTTATTTTTTTTGGTCATAACCTTTGCCAATTTGTTTTCATAACTGCCAATCCATTTAAAGTTAGATGATCGTCTTTTATATAGGAATTTAATATGAGATGATCATTTTAGTGATCAATCAATCATATTTAAGCCCGCTATGCTATTCTAATCAAATTCAATATTATTTTAAATATACAATTGACTTTTCAATAATTTAACTAAACATTTTTTAGCATTTGTATAGTATAGAAGTCAGCTCCGGTAAAATCTGATTAATCTGTCATCTGATCTAGTCAAATTTCAAATCATCTGGATTTCTATTCATCAGATTTCAGATTATCCAATATAATCTGATCAATTTTCATAATTCTGGTTGGAATTATAAATTTTGAGCAGAATTATGAAAATTACGAAAAATCACATGATTTTAATTTCTATGCATGTAGGTATGTTAATCAATTTTCTTTTTCAATGATAGCCGTTCCACAAAAAAATTTTTCTATTTTTAAATTTCTGTATTCCTTAAATTTTATGCAATCATAATGCTGATTATTTCCTTTTTGGCGATTGCCATTTTACAAAAATTTGTTTTTTTTTTTGATTTTTGCAGTCCTGGCACTCTGTATAACCTGTATAACCCAGTTTTTAAAAATGGTAATAATCAGAGATTTCGTATTTTTAAATACGTTGTTAGTGATAATCTATTTGCGTCACTAAATGATTATGCTAACTAATATCACCAATGGTCATTAGGAAAATCGTGATCATCATTTTCACTAATTTCACGGTTATCACAGTTATCGTTGTGATATTTATTTTCTTTATTATTACATTTATCATTATTTTATTTATTATATTTATTTTCATAGTTATATTTACTTTCATTATTATAATTATTATCTTTATCTTATAATTGTATTTTATATAAATATCTTGTATTGTCACCTTGACAAATTAACAAGTTTCTATTGTACAATTAATAAAGTATAATCTTAACAACATAAAACTATATTTTCGCTAATATCTATTTTCTTAAAACATAAATCATCAATAAAGATGATCTAACCCTTCAACTTAAATAAATTTGTGTTTATTTCTTTCATAGTTTACGACTTAAACTTCCTGTTAGCAAATAAGTTTTTTGTTATCCTAATAACGTAGTGTTTAGGCTTAATAACGTCATTAGATCGATTAGAAAATCTAGTTTCTATCTGATTAATCCTGTGATACAAACAGATCAATCTGAATAATCTAGTCAAATTTTAGATGGATAATCGGATATCTGAATTGATCAAATTCAGAGTATACCTCTAGTCTAGTAGTATTAACTTGTAAATTCTAGTAACATTCAATATTATTTTAACAATAACAAAAATTATATAC